CCGTTCTTATTTAATTGGCACTGAGGTTAATACCATCAAATCCTGATGGTTAAAAAAGAATGAAAGGATCAAAATTAGTCTTGCCTCTGGTGAGGAGTAAGAGGAGTACATTAAAGGCAAGTAATGCACTAAAATATTTTTGTTAGAGCATAAAACCATTCTTGGAGCTACAATCACAAGCTTGAGCTTGTGGTTGGGTTGATTCCTTGAAATGGTATATTAGTCTTGCTTATTAAGAGGTCACGAGTTGAAGCTCATTGTCACTAAAATGACTGAATTTTTAAAGAAATGTTAATGTGCAATGCTTGACCAAAAATAAATCTTGCTTGCAAGTGAGGGGGTGTGTTAGAATACAAAATCATTCTTGGAACTAACACCACAAGCTTGAGCTTGTGGTTGAGTTGATCCCTTGACAATTTTGATTCAAGAATTTACTACTCCCTCCATCTCATTTTTAAGTTTCACTTTCCTTTTATGGACGTCCCATATTAAAGTTCTCATCCCTTTTCACGAACGAATTGTGGGGTTCTCAACATTTCTCACACATATGTAGAAATTCTAATCACGCAATTTCAACTTTCCTTCAACTCTATAAAAAAACAAATGGGAACTTAAATATGGGATAGAGGGATTACATATTTTACATCCTCGTGTTATGTGTCCAATAACATTTTAGTAATGAAGTTTCACCCCAATTCCTCAACTGTGGCCCCTCAATTCGTTATGCTGTTAAACATGGACATAACTTGTGATAGTCTGATAGAGGGACTAACGGTGGCTAATTTTATACAACTGAATGATTAGAGTATGTTTTTACTTACATGCCCAATATTTTCTCAACTAAATTAGTACCACTGCGAAGCAAAAACATCACCACAGGAGGGACTAAAAGTGATTAATTTTGCACAGCTGATGGACCACAAGTGTCTATTTAAAATTAATTAATACATGGTGAGAAAGTACTAAAACTATTATAAAAAAGCTATAAAGGAAATGGCCCCAAAATTTAATTAATTCTTAATAGAGGGGTGATCTGGTATTTAGCTGGTTGAATTCCAATATGCTACAAGTACAACGACAACAACCCAGTAGAATCCCACAAAAGCATGCCTGGGGAGGGTGTCTCTACGCGGGCCTTACCCCTACTAAGACTAGAGAGGCATCTGAAGCATGTAAACTGGCCAAGACATATTTTTTAAATACAACAGCTAGAAAACATTTTCTTGCCATATGTTTTCATAGTTTTGAACACAGCACACTTCTTGCAACAATCGGCACAACCTTAGCAAACCTAGAGCATAAGCTTTGCACACATTTTTTTGGTTGTCTCCCACAAATGCCTATTTATATATCTAGGCCATTTATAATCCAAGTATTTAGCTCCACTGCAAAATTTAGTTCTATAGAAGAAAAATGCAAAGCCCCAACTTCAAATATTACGTTGAGATGTACCCCCTTTGTCCCGTAAAAAGGTTCCACGTTTGACTTGGCGTGGAGATTTAGAAAAGTGAAATTGGGTGGTTAAAAGCGGTGCAAAAGGAGAGAGAAATTATATGGACCAGGAAAACTTTTCTAAATCTAGAAAGTGGAACCGTTTTTTGTGACGAACAAAAAAGGAAATGTGGAACCTTTTTGTAGGATGGAGAGAGCATCAACTAAGAGACAATACCATGTTACCTCACATGATTAGCAACCAATACAGGTTCAAGATCACAGCGAACATCTTTTAAATCTGATAACCATTTGGCTTTTAAAACCCCAGTAACAATGACATCGTCTGGAGAAAAGTTAAAATACATCAGTAACTTGGGAATAGCAACAACGTTGTACGCATATCATGTAAATGTTTGCAGGTTGCCATGCTGGGTTGGAAAGTAGTACCTCCAGCTTTAACCATGTCCACAAGATCATCCATCAAGATAACAGGAATGGAACGAGGGATCGCTCCAATACCCAATACTTGGGTACTTTCTTGAATTTTAATTTCCTGATAATCACGGCAAACCATGCTATCTTCCACAATCTGGAAATTTGTGCTTTCACAAAATTTAGCCTTCTGTAACATGAATTTTGGAATCAAAACCACACAGATATGGGACAAAACCATGTGAAACTCCACTGCCAAAATAAAGCAGCTGCCATGCCTAAAATGCTACAATCATTAATTCTACGTAGTAACTATGGAGTATAAGAAAAACAAAAAAAACCTTTGATGGACATGATGTAGGCTTGGGAATGGAATTTCTAGTTTCCACCTCAGGATAAACTTTAAACCTGCAAAGAGTGTCCAACGCCAAAAAAATAAAATAACAGGCTCTTCTAATGCATGTCAAGTTTGTTCCTGAAAATTTTCAGTCTATACCATCTATGCCTTAGGATAAAGCTGGAGAAAAAACATGAATCACGATATATTCTTTATAGACCAATGGTCTAGATTTAGACATAGTTCTTATTTTATTTAAGTATGTCCGATCTTTTTAATGTACACCCACCCCGAAGGAAGAAACAAGTCTAAAAGAATTCAGAAAACACAACCTGTGTTTACATCTCCTGCATTCGTACAACTTTTCTCCTTCGATCATTTTCACAGGCCCGGACCTAATTACAGTCCCTTTGAGCGTAAGAAGAATCCCTCGATGCTTAACCCGCACGCGACCAATGCTGGGAAAAGTTTCTAATATGAACAAAAAAACAGCTTGATATTGTAGCACAAGACAAGAGGGCACATCTGAAATGGAACGCAGGAACAGAACGAACCTGGGCATTCAAGAGGAGAACCGCAGGCATTAATTCGAACATGTACGTTGCTCTTGACAAGAGCATCTTCAAACTGAGTACATATCTTCTTCTAATCAAAATCAACAGAAATCACAATCAGATGTGAATTGCAAAAAACGGATGCATTCCCATTAACAAGCTAATACCTGTGCCAAAACCGCTGCTTCGTCGAAAAGCAACAAATAATCATCGGGCTGCGAGAAGATGAACTGAGCAATGTCAGGGTTTTCATCCATAACCTCTGCGAAACTGATGAGGTATCAATTCATTCATCGGAACGTAGAATGAGATGTAAGCAGATGAAGATGCGGAGGAGAGTAATGGAGCTTACTCGACATGGAGAGGGTAGTGAAGACGAGGATCCGGAGCGAGAATGATGGACTGGAGTTGCTCCGAGTGGTTCATTTCCAGATACTTCTGCAATTTCTCTCTGTGGTATTCAGATTCCATTCAATCTCCGGTCTTCGTTCGCCGTTCCGGTGAGTATTTTGTTATTTCTCCGTGTGATTTGAGTCGCGACGGCTTCTGCCCCCTTTGCCGTTGCCCTTTGCCGCCACACGAGAATATTAGGCGGGAAAAAAGATACGCTTCGTTTTGGGCCTTTTGGGCCTTTGCTTGGGTCATCCATTTGGTAAATTATTTTAGAAAATCATCAAAATCAGCTTTGACTATTATTAAATATAATTTTAGGTAAATAAATGTTTTAAGAATTTGATATATTAAAATTAAATTTTAAAATAAATTTAATTTTACTAAATATATATTGTAACTACATATATTTCTTTATGATTTATAGTCAAAACATAATACAATTTGACTAAAAAGATCAAATGTGATGATCTTTTGAAACGGAAGAAGTATTATCAAAGGTTGTTTGATGAAGTAATATTTTAGCATGTACTCCGTATCTATGAAAATACTTTTAATATCATATCAAGATTCGATAAATCTTGAAATTTACAGACAAAATTTAGATTCATGAATAAGATTACTTGAAATAAATTCGTGCCAATTTAAAATAATAAGTTATTATTAGTAAATTTAAAAGTGATAAAAATGATTAGGAATAAAAAAGTAAGAATTAAGTATACTAATGGAGTGTGTGGTGAGACTAGACGAAACATCAATAATTATAAGAATATAGAAAAAACTGCTTCAATATGTTTTATAACGACATAAAGAGCATTATTTTTTTGTCAAGAGATGGTCATTGATTATATCTTGGTCAATTTCGAATATTCTAAAAAATTAGATTAAGACTGGAACATTTAAAAATTTCAACTGTTCTAACCCGTCCCACCCCAATTTGAGGCTCAATTTATGAAATTTATAGTATTGACTTTTGACGTATGTTGTAACATTTTTTCATGTTTCCTTATTCTTTTGACTTTTTCAAAAATTCTAAATAAATATATCATTTTTTCCATTACTCTAAAAGTAAAGGTGGATTACCTCTCTCTTATATACTCCCTCCGTCCCGCTATATTCGTCCACTTTTGACTTTTGGAACTGTTCATCTAAGCACTTTGACTCATCAAATTCTCTCAATGTGTAAGCCTAAATATAGTCATGTGTGATCTTGTTTGATTTGTCTTAACATATAGATTATTAATATATAATTTCTATAATTTTTTAATATACAAATTACAAGATAAAATGGATTAAAGAAGTGTATTGGATTGTGTGCAAAAATGAAAGTGGACAATACTCTGGGACGGAGAGAGTATTTTATATTTCTCTTATTTCGGATAATGACAAAATAGGGCAACACAAACTCATTCCATTTTATTCTGATCTCAAATATTAAGGGGTAAAGAGGTATAAATTTAAGGCCCAAACGGCCATACTATTCTTCATCATTTGAAAAAATGAGACAAAATTCTAACTATCCCGACCCGTGCGACCGTGCCCACCCCTAGCCGCTATCTTCTTTGCCAACAAGGTAAAAACCGTAAAATATAGGGAGAAACAAATTACAAAAATGATATGGGTACATCAAAAGTGTACCCCAAATATATATCACCCTCTCCATTGCCGCATATTTTGGCATGTAAAATAAAAAAGAAATAAATAAATAAAAATAAGTGGTAATAAAGAAGGGGTGTACATTTGGTGTACACTTTTGGTGTACCCCTAGCATCCCTCAACAAATTAAGGGGTTGATTTTGACAACCACAAAAAGTGAGGGGTACAAGTGTAAGTGGCGACTATTTACCCCGGGCGTATATTTCTTTCTTTGGGAGATTCTTATGCACGCGAGAAACGATCCGAGCCAGAGGCCCGAGCGGTAGAGGTGGAGAATCCCGCGATGGAGGCCGATGACGTGGAGATGTCTACGGTGACCAACGGACCTGTCGTGGTTTCTCCATCTTCTTGATTTCCTCCTGCAATGCTTTCGAGTTTCTGATTTGATCGTACCCTAACTCCGGGATACCTGCAATCTGGCGTGTGTATGTAGGAATTGGATGAAATGAAAAAGAGGCTGAAGGATATGGAAGATGAGGCGGCGGCTCTCCGCGAAATGCAGGCCAAAGTTGAGAAAGAAATGGGCTCCGTTCAAGGTTTTTGCTTTTCCATCTCGCGATTCCTAGGGTTTATATTTTCTTTCGCGTTCTTAACTGTATTTGTCTCAATTGAAGCAAAAAAAATGAATTTTTTCGATGGGATTTTTGGATCACAATTGTTTGCTCGTGGAAGAAGTGGTATTGCACTGTGTTTGTTTAGTTTTCACTTTGATGTTTGATTTTACAAGCAGACCCTGCTGCCGATGCTGCAACCCAGGCTAACAAGGAAGAGGTGGATTCTCGTTCGGTCTTTGTTGGCAATGTGAGGCTTCTATTCTCGTTTATTCGTAATATCGTGGCCGTGTGATTCACTGCCTTCTTGCACTGTGTTATGTAAGGAATGTATGTATAGACTAGAGTCAACTGGATGATATTTCAACATGGTATAGTATTACTGACAGGTAGGTCAGTTTAGATATTCTGTTAACATAAAGCACCATCTTGTATTTTGGCAATTGGTTTAATAGTTTGCTTGTATGCTGATATGAGTAGGAGTACGAATTTGAGAAATTTCATTGAAGTGTGCTCTGCGGTCCCTGCTGCTTACATGCCCTTTAGGGAGGGAGGGGGGTGGGTCAGTTTATTTGTTTATTTATTTTTAGTTTTTTTTGTAGTATGGAGTAAAAAATAGTGAAGTGAGGGTTTGGTCCCCATTAACCATACCATACCCTTTTATCTATGGTCGAAGGTAATTTTTAAGTGCAATTTTGACCTTTGTGAGAAAAACCTTGCTGAACTTTTGCTTCTCCTTTAGCCACCTATTATAGTTGAAAGATGTCTACCTTGAGGAGCACAAAATAGACCATTGGTCCTTCCTTTGTAATGCACCATTTTAAATATTTTTTGAAGAAAGGACTGGTCTGCTACATCTTCTCTTTTGTTTTTAATAAAATTATTCCATATAATGGAAGCCTTGGCATGTAATTATGAAGACAGTTTCTACATGTTGAGTTTCATTAAGATTCTTCTCCTTAGAGTTCCTGTGTTCTATTAATGCTTGGTAGCCTCAACCTGCACTTCTAAAAAAAGAGATTTTATTCTCTTTTCTAGACATAGAATGTCTGTTAAAATTTCCATCTTAGACCGCTAATTGAGCGATAAAATAAGTAGACCCAATAATAATGGCTTGTGATAATCATCATTGGTTTGAGTGCTACTCATGAGTTGTGTTTGGTCACTCGTGATCGATTGCAGTCTTATTTGGGGAATGTATTTTCTTTGCACAGGTGGACTATGCATGCACTCCTGAGGAAGTACAACAGCATTTTCAGGCATGTGGGACAGTTAACCGGGTTACTATCCGGACTAACAAGTTTGGGCAACCAAAGGGATATGCATATGTTGAATTTCTTGAGCCAGAAGCTGTTCAGGAGGCTATTCTTCTAAATGAATCTGAGCTTCATGGACGCCAGCTTAAGGTGTGATAGACAATAGAGCTCATCTTGATTTCTACATTTCTCTTTCTTTATTCTCTTTTTCCCCATCTCCACTTGCGTATTGTTTCCATCACTCTGTCCGAAATGTCACGGCAGGTAACAGCCAAACGAACTAATGTTCCGGGCATGAAGCTGTTCCGCGCTCGGCGTCCAAATCCTTATATGGGTTTCCGGGGCAGGGCACTATATCCACCACCAGCTTTTTTCTTTCCTCCATATGGTTATGGGTAAGGGGATTCACGAATTCGGGCTTTCCCCTTCAGCTATCTGTTTGTTTGTTTTGTCGTCACAAAATCTGTGTGTACCTTTGTGTTGCAGGAAGGTGCCGAGATACAGAGCACCAATGCGTTACAACCCCTATTTCTGAAGGCTGGTGTTGATGTGCGAAATGAAAAATGTGTCCTTCAAATCGAGCACTCCATTGATGAGGGTTGGCTTCAAAGAGTGTGTGTCTAGGCGTTTGTTTAATATCGCATCATTATTGTCATTATTATTTCTATAAGTTGAGCTTTGCGCGCATCGTCTCTATTAGTCGTATCGGTATTACTGCTGCTGTTATTCATTAGTAACATCTTGTTTGAGTTGCATGTTCAACAAGATTGTGTGCTGGTCTTGTAGGTTAGTTGATCAGACAGTGACTTCAAGAAGAATAACAGTGTTACTTGTTAATGATAATGGAACATATCAAAAAAGTTTTCTTTAAGAGATCCTGCCTTAGCTCTAAAAAAGTGAGTAGTTCAATTGTTAAAAATTTTTTCCCAAGGGGCCAACAGATACTCATATGCTCTAAAGAAAAGTTATGTGCTCAATGAGAAAGTTAAGTTGCTTAGTACACCAAGGTTCTCATGACATTGGTTCCCAATGTCATGGGATGACCCGGGGGCGCTCCAGTGCCCCGTTCGTAAAATTGACGGTTTCTACCCCCTCTAACCCCCTGGTAAACCCTCCCACCCTGCCCCGACCCGAGCAAACTACGTTCTTGATCCATTTTTGCGATCTATTTGAGAAAATAATATGGTTTATCATTCATTGTTCTGTCGAATTTTCATGTACTTTTAAATATGGGGTATATAAATGTTATTTTTTTAATTCTTTACAAATGTTCAAATAAATTAAATTTTTAATAACTTTAGTTAAATTTCGTAAACAACAACATGCGACTCTTTATGAGACGGATGGAATGCGTATTAAAGAAAGCTTATACAGAGTAGTTTTTTTTGTTCTTTTATTAAAGAAAGCTTATAGTACGGAGTATTATGTATTGTCAAGAATTTATGATAAAAAAGTGTACTATAAAAATGTTTTTTCAAGACTTAAACATTGCATTTAACTTTAGCTTTAGTGTTGTATTTTAGAAATGTTATTCAAATGTATTTTAAGGTTAAAATTCTCAAAATTAATCTATAACATTAAAAATTTATAACATAAATACAAATTACACATGTTCTTTTCAAATGATAATCAAATTTTTTTATCCAGTCACATTTCAAAGCTTAAAAATTCAATAGAAAATCCAACCATAAATTTGTGGTTGGTTCTTATTGATTTGGTTTTAGTCATATTACAATTTACTTGATAGGTTTTGTAGAAGATACTTATATTTACCAATTCCAACATATTTGTAAAATATTTTCTTACAAGCTATTTTCGTGTATTTGTTGATCTCTAAAGGAAAAAAAGCTAACATAGACCTATAACTTATGACAAATACTTTTACGGTTCTCAGTTCCATTTTATTTATACGAATTTTATTGATATGGTTTTCTTAACATTATGATTAAAATTATGAGTTTATGATTAAGATTAGATTAGAATAAGAAAATTTTAATTAGGAATAGGATTAGAATTATATTTAGATTTAGGGGATTAGGATTAGGATTTTAAATTAGGGAATTACTATTAAGATTTAGATTAGGATTTAAGGGATTATGAGAGGAAGGTATTAGAATTAAGATTGGGAGGACATATGAAACGTATCTCGTCTGAGCCTGAGATCAGAGACCTCCATACTTCAACACTCCATATTCAGCGGAATCAGAAGCCATGCCTCTCGCCGCCCTCTCCGCCGGTAGCTCAGCCATCTTCAAACTCAATTACACATTCAGGCCGCCGTCCGTCATACCTCTTCCCGTCACCCTGGACGCAAACCCGAAAATCAGTCCCAGATGCAAACCCCTATCCGCAGTCCTATCATCCCCGTCGACGAAATCCGCCACCCCGGGTCCCGTAGCAAAATGGGACCTTAACAGCTGGAAGTCCAGACCCGCTTTCCAGTTGCCGGAGTACCCGGACAAAGACCAGCTCGATTCGGTCTTGAAGGTTCTAGAATCCTACCCTCCCATCGTTTTCGCCGGGGAGGCTCGGAGTCTCGAGGAGAAATTGGGACAGGCGGCGCTTGGGAATGCCTTCCTATTGCAGGGTGGGGACTGCGCGGAGAGTTTTAAAGAATTCAGTGCCAACAATATTAGGGACTCTTTCAGGGTGATATTGCAAATGAGTGTTGTGCTCATGTTTGGTGGTCAAGTTCCTGTTGTCAAGGTGATTTCACTTCTTTTTTTTTCAATAAAAAATAATTCCTTTGCTAATTTTATTCCAAATCCAGGCTATTTACATATGTTGTGCTTTGTTGGTTGTGAATTATTGAAGTTTCATGTTCTTTCTGCTTGAAATTCGTGTTGTAATTGTGTTAACGCATCAAGAAAAGATGGAGTAAAAGAATGGAAAGATGTGCCGAGAGAAAGAACTTGGGGTTAAAGAAAGAAAAGGTGGGGTGTGGTTGGGTGGGATATGGCTTTAGATAAGAACTATTGTTTCTTTGATTTGTTTTTTATCAAAGAAACAAAAAAGTAAAAAACATGGAATGTGAAACATAGTCATACACGTAAAAGTTTTTGAGAAAAACTACTAAACTCAAGTAAAAAATAAAACTTTTACCTCTAGAATGAAAAACTATTTGGAAGAAAGTATTCATGAAGCAGCAGAACTATGAAGTAGAATAGAGCACAAGGAAAAAAAAGGTGAGATTTTATAGTATCCACTTACTTGTTTACATCAGAATGGTAGCTCCTCGCAAGTTTTCGATAGGCTGGCACAAATAATAAGAATTAAAAAAATAAAGATTAGTGCATGACAGTCCGGATCCTTTTCTCAGCGGATATTCAGATGCAACAGCTCAGAAAAATCTCACGAATGGGGTCTGGGGTACCGGGGGGGGGGGGGATATGCAGACCTTATCCCTGCCTCAAAAGGCAGATAGGCTGATTCAAGGGTATATAAGTACTAGTAAAATAATTCACACAATAAATAGCAGAACCATAATAAGCAAACGGCTCAAAATGACTACATGGGCATGTGAGTACTTATATATGTCTTCTGTTGTTTGATGTTTTATATTACAATATGGGATTCTTCTTGCTTGAAAGTTTGTTGGAGTATGAAAAACCTTGTGTGAGCTCACAAGCACAAGCTTGAACTTTTGGCTGAGTTGGTTCTTTGACAAAGTTAAACATGAATAGAATTAATTATAGAGTTAGTTCTTTACCTCTCTGAGTAAGGGGTACGGTATATAAACGGTATTGGGTACACCCACCCTCCCCAGGCCCCCACTATGTGGGAATTTACTGGGTTTGTGGTAGTAGTATTAATTATGGTGTTAGCATATGAAATAATTTAGTGATTTCTATATTTTTTTTGTGCTAGCTATCCTACTGCTTCATGGTTGTGGTTTTAGGTGGGCAGGATGGCCGGTCAGTTTGCAAAGCCAAGGTCTGACCCCTTTGAAGAAAAGGACGGCGTGAAGCTGCCAAGTTACAGGGGAGACAATGTGAATGGGGATGCTTTCAATGAGAAATCAAGGGTTCCGGACCCGGATAGGATGATCAAGGCTTATACTCAATCCGTGGCTACATTGAACCTGCTCAGGGCTTTTGCTACAGGAGGTTATGCAGCCATGCAGAGAGTTAGCCAATGGAATCTTGATTTCACTGACCATAGTGAGCAAGGAGATAGGTCTGCTTCTTTTTTTTGCATATGGACTGTCTTTTTGAGTTTTTTCCTCACTTTCAAGGGTATGTTCTGATCCAAGACACTACCATGGAAGGAGGAAAGTAAATAAAGAGGATTTTTTTTCAAAATTATAATTTTTGACTTTATAAAGAGAACTTATTGGCAAATGTTTGACACGAACTCCCGAAGTTACCTTCATTTGGGACTAAAGGAGTATGTAGGTTCCGTTTGGCAGCTAAAAGTGAGCTTGTTTTACTTAATAAGCAGAATAAGTAGCAACTTCGACTTATTTCTCTGAAAAGACTAATGTTACCAAAGATTATATCTTTCATGGAAATCAGCAGAGTCAACATTCTGACGTTTCAGCTAAATAAACTTAACCTTATAAGGAGTATTTCTTAGTATATGCATAACAGAAACACATAAATTCCGTTTTTCCTCTCCCTATTGTCTTACCCTAGAAATCTTGGAAACAGCCTCTTTACTCTCTGGCGAATAAGGTCTCCGTACACAAACCCTTCTTAGACCCCACTCAATGGAAACTAATTTATTTTCCTTTCCCTTTCCAAATTCCAAATGGACCCGAAATGTTTATTTCTTTTTAGCTTTGGCCGGTACAAAGATTTATTTGATTGTATACTTGTTAAAAGGTACCGTGAACTTGCACACCGAGTAGATGAAGCAATGGGATTCATGGCAGCAGCTGGGCTTACACTTGACCATCCCATTATGACCACAACAGACTTCTGGACATCCCATGAGTGCCTGCTCTTGCCTTACGAGCAAGCACTTACGCGGGAGGATTCCACATCCGGCCTTTACTATGACTGTTCTGCCCACATGCTCTGGGTCGGGGAGCGCACAAGACAATTGGACGGTGCACACGTGGAGTTCCTCAGAGGAGTTGCCAACCCCCTTGGAATTAAGGTATAATAGATGCTTCCTTCTTTGCATTATAATGTGTTGTTTTGAGGGTAAAATGCATTTTTCGGCCCCATAGTTATGGGGGGTTGGCAAAACTAGTCACTTTGGACTTTTTGTCTTCAGAAATATATATTTATGTGACAAACAAGGTTTTTGATGGCAGGTGAGTCAGAAAATGGATCCCAATGAGTTGGTCAAGCTTATAGACATCCTGAATCCTAAAAACAAGCCAGGGAGAATAACAGTGATTGCTAGAATGGGAGCTGACAACATGAGAGTGAAACTACCTCATCTGATCAGGGGTGTTCGGCGTGCCGGTCAAATAGTGACTTGGGTCAGTGATCCTATGCATGGCAATACAACTAAAGCTCCCTGTGGGCTCAAAACCCGATCCTTTGACGCTATCAGGGTATGTTCCCCCCCACTCATCTCTATGCTTCGATGTTGGTCTATGAGCTTAACCGATCCTTTTTTCGGAAGCGATAAAATTTGGCTTAAATAGTGAATTATACTCCCTCCATCCATATTCTTGTTTTTATTTTCCTGGAATTAGTTGTACGCTTTCCATATTCAATAAATAAATTACGATGAATCGTCTAACATATCCCAGAGATGAGGTACGGTCCTTATTGGCATGAATGCATCACAAGCACATTCGAAGGACTTATTTGACATTTAAACTCATTTCTTAAAAATGAGATATTTAAGACCCTACTCTTTGGGTGATTTTACCATACTTGTTAAAAAGTGGACAATTAAATCCAGACGGAGGGGGTATAGAAAAGAACAACATTTAAAAATTTATCTATCCGATAATCCTGTAAATTAGAAATATTATCATCTGAAAAGAAGAAAGAGCCACATTCCGGTAAGGTGAAACTTTTTAACTTTAGTTAATGTACTACTATGGAGAACCAACCATGATTTCTCTAGTCTAGCTATGTGTGTGTGTGTGTGTGTGTGTGTGTTTCTCAATGATGTGTTGGTCCTCAAAATCCACTTCACACAGGATGAGCTAAGGGCATTCTTTGATGTTCATGATCAAGAAGGGAGCTTTCCTGGGGGTGTGCATCTGGAGATGACAGGCCAGAACGTGACGGAGTGTGTGGGAGGTTCTAGAACAATCACTTACAATGATCTGAGCTCGCGCTATCACACGCACTGTGATCCCCGGCTAAATGCATCCCAATCACTCGAGCTTGCCTTTATCATTGCCGACCGGCTTCGGAAGAGGAGGCTCGGGCCCCACTTCAACCTCTGATCTTTCTTTCTTTATTTCTTCTATGGGAATGGGGTGCTATAATTGAAGCTATACAGAATGAAGCTTTCTTGATCTTGAGACTGCTGCAACAGTTACTCCAGTTAGGTTACTTACTGTTTTAGAGGTAAGTTTGGTAGTGGTGAAAAATAAATTATGTCTTGTAATTGATACACAAAATCGCATATACCCTTTTAAGGTGAATAATATGATACTATACCAGATTATCAGCTGTTGGTATTTAATAACTTGTGTTCATTGTTGGTAGTGGCAGTCTACACTTGTCACTGTTTGGAAGTTGAAACCTACCAATTTTATATGAAGTCAACAACAACATTACCTTGCCTCGATGGCTCCCGCCCATTGCGGGGTAAGGGGGTCGGATGTACGCAGCAGTCTGACCCTATGTTAAAACATAGAGCGGTTGTTTCCAGATGGCAGATGACCTATGATGAGCGTCGAAAGTTGCATTGACCAATTGCTACTTTATAATTGCAAGAAGCGCAAACAGTTTAGAGAGCCAATTTATTTTATTTCATCATATCCCAAAGTAAAAAAATAGTAAATTTTTATCCCTCTTGCCCTTAAGGTCATTTGATTATGTAAAGTGGAATATTACTTTAAAATGAAAGTAGACTAATATATTGGGACAATTAAAAAAGAAAAAATGAATGAATATATTGGAATGACTCAAAAAAATAAAATATCTTAAAATGAAAGTTTGGATGGACTTAAGATTTGGTCCAATGCATGGTCCCAAGTGGGGAATTCTCACTCTCACCTCAAAAATTAGCAATTTGTTCTGTGGTCTCAATGTGCACACCTATTTTTTGGGCTTTAGTGTAAAAAGAAAAAGTCTATTAATCACTCATGTAAAATATGAAAATGCACACATTTTATATGTAGATTTTAGGATCACAGAAGTACAATTTTAAAAAATTAAGGATTGAATAATATTATCTCCAATGTATTGTTCCTACTTTACAAAGCTCAACTTAAATTTGCATAGTGATACTTTATGCTAGAGTCTAAAATCCAATCAATCTTTGTTCAAACTATGTAGCAAGCCAACTGTTGGAACAAATGTTACTCCTATAGTAACATTATATAAAAAAATTCAGAGTCCTCTATCAAAGGGGTGGTGGCGCAGTTGGCTAGCGCGTAGGTCTCATAGCTTCTGAGTTATCCTGAGGTCGAGAGTTCGACCCTCTCTCACCCCATCTTTTTTTTTGGTTTCCGTATGTGTTGCCATAAATTTTCCCACAGTACTCCACACACCCCAACACATAATTTGATAATCCCATAATATTTTTTACATTATGCAAAATGAAATAAATTTTAAATTTTTTAAATTTATTTCATTTAAAAATTTGTATAAAAACAAAAAATAGAATTTAGTATATGTTTAAAATTACGTAAGAAATTCTTCAAAACAAACCGCAACAAAAATATTTTAGTGTGAATTACTTAAACAATGAACAAAATAAACATGGGACCTGTTACAGAAAGAGAAGTTAGACCCTTTTAGCAAAATTTATACTATAAAAAGTACAGTCACCAAAAAAGTTTCCTACAATGAAATGTGAATCCAAAAACCCAATTCATTTATCAACTATCAGGAGTCAAGAATGAGAAAAAAACCACACCCTGTGCTATCTCCTGCTGTTTGGAGTAGCAGTAGCAGTAGAAGAAGAAGAAGAAGAAGAAGAAGAAGACTTGGTCAGTTTGGCAAGCTCTTCAATGAGTTTCCTCTCTTCCTCAGTGACCCGTTTCGGAATCTCGACTTGGACTCGAACCAGCTGGTCGCCCCTCATCTTCGGCTTGTTCAGAAGCGGGACCCCTTTTTTCGCCATCACCAACGTGGTCCCCGGTTGGGTCTCCGGCGGGATCTTCAGGTCCACCGTCCCGTCCACCGTGGGGACATTTACCGTGGTCCCCAGAATCGCGTCGATGTAGGACACCTTGCAAGTGTAGAGGATATTGGTGTCATTCCTTTTGAGTATGGAGTCGGGTAGGACGTCTATGATCACGAAAAGATCCCCGGGGGGCCCACCTCTCCTCCCGGCGTTGCCCTCCGACCGGACCCTCATCCGGCTGCCCGAGTCGACGCCGGGCGGGACTTTGAGGCTGATCCGCTTCGACTTGCTCGCCCGACCGTCGCCGCCGCACGCGGGACACGGCGTGGAGCTCTCCCCGGTCCCACCACACGATGAACACGTCATCACTTGTTGGAACATGCCAATCGGGGTCCGCGCCGACGACACGACCTGCCCTTGGCCGCCGCACGTGCCGCACGTCGAGACTTTCGTGCCCGGTTTTGCCCCTGACCCGTTGCAGGTCCCGCAGCTCTCGAGCCGGCTTATCTCAATCTCCTTCTCCACCCCAAACGCGGCCTCTTTGAAATTCAAAACCAGACTACAGGCCTGATCTTCTCCTTGCATTGCTCCGTTTGGCGAACCTCTTCTCCCCGAACCGCCCGTGTTGAATAGCGAGTCAAACAAATCAAACGGATTGCTGAAATCCTGTTTTGATGATGAAACATGTTACAACAATGAAAGAATGCCGGCGTACAACAACAACAACAACAACAACAAACCCAGTGAAATTCCACAAAAATAGGGTCTGGGGAGGGTATGTGTACGTAGACCTTACCCTTACTATGAAGTAGAGAGGCAATATTATGCCAGTAATGGAAAATAACATACCCCGGTACCCATGTTGAAGCCTTTGAGCCCGTCCTCCCCATACTTATCATAAATGGAACGTTTCTCATCATCCGACAATACCTGGTCAACAAGTATTTCAACTTATGCTAAAAAAATCACTATGGCTGTATTTAAATATCGGTAGGTTTACCTCATAAGCATTGCTGATTTCCTTAAACTTCTGTTCCGCTTCGGGTTCTCTGCAGGAAAGAATGATTTTTTTTATTTATCAAAGAAACAAAAAAGTAACAAACATGGAATGTGAAACATAGTCATCCACGTAAAAGTTTTTGAGAAAAACTACTAAACTCAAGTAAAAAAGAACCTTTTACCTCTAGAATGAAAAACTATTTGGAAGAAAGTATTCATGAAGTAGCAAAACTATGAAGTAGAATAGAGCACAAGTAAAAAAAAAGGTGAGCTTTTAAAGTATCCACTTACTTGTTTACATCAGGATGGTAGCTCCTCGCAAGTTTCCGATAGGCTGGCACAAACAATAAGAATTAAAAAAAATAAAGATTAGTGCATGACATTCCGGATCCTTTTCTCAGCAGTTTTCAGATACAACAATTCAGAAAAAACTCACGAATGGGGTCTTGGGGGGGGGGGGAGGGGATATGCAGACCTTATCCTACATCAAAAGGCAGAGAGGCTGATTCAAAGAGATATTAAGGTTCAAAGAGTATATAAGTACTAGTAAAATAATTCACACAATAAATAGCAGAACCATAATAAGCAAACGGCTCAAAATGACTACACGGGCATGTCATTATCTGTGCAAGAATGGGTTTTGGGTGGAAGAGATGGTAGTTGGAAGGAAGTTGACGAAGATGTAAGCCATAAATTTCACAAGAAAATGGATCGTTCAAAATTTTCCTTCTGTCTAAAGAGACATGGTGTTTACAATCTTCAAGATCATCTATATTAAGTGCAATAGAAAAAAACATATAAGAGAACAAGAGCATATAGTAAAGCATTTACCACTTTTGATTTCAGATTTGCTGGAATTTCTTGATAAACCTAGAACAGAGTAGTAATCCTGCAATTTTTCAATATAGAGTAAACCAAAATGCCATACATATCTATGTTATATAGAAGAATGGAGAACTACCAAAATGTCGGAAAAGAGGCAAATCTGAATCATGTCATACTTTGCCTGCTCTAACGATGAGACAATGCCCTCTTCTTGGACACAAATTCTTGTACGGAAAGAGATTAGAAAGCCCACGCCCGGATTGATGACCGAAAATACTTGACCCTTTTGATGCTAAAGCCCTTACCTTGTTCGGGAAACTGTGCATAAGAAAATGATGTTTTATAGTGTCTAGCAGCATAAAAAAATGTCACTGAAACATTCAAAGGCTTGCAATTCAAATATTCATGCTAGGAATATAGTATATACTCCCTACGTTTTATGAAGGACAAACGGAAAGGTCCAACCAGTGTGCAAGATACATGCCTAGGAGCATACACTATTTAGGAGAAGAACATTAAAGAAAGTATTAGATACAGTCTGCAAATTATTGGATTGAGTTATAAGTCTTGTCATTATTATAACCTAGGACCTTGTGTTTCACGTGAAAATGTTAATAAATGAGTGTCATCACATTGCATGCAACACCATCCCATACGGTCCTTTTTTCTTAAGCAAATAAAATAGGCAAAGAGTATGGTAGGATGAACCCAACCTGACTATTGTTGCTGTATCTCATGCTAGGTATCTATCAAAGGAGATGAAAACTAACTTTAATTTTTTTTCTCACATTTCACACGTTTTCCCAAATGCATGATTAGATGGCCAAACGGGATAACCTTATTTGATTTTATCATTGGAGATTCCGTGTAACAAGTAAACATGGCCGAAGTCTAAAAAGCATAAATACATGTAAAAACAAGTGAGAGTATAACACGAAAGCGTGGACTCAAAATCATGAGAAAACAGCGCACATTCCCTTGTCATTATGCAAGTGTGACAAAACAATAAATCTATTAAAAGTCCATTTGAATCTTCCTTTGAGGGACTTCTGAGGGCAAATGAAGGAGTCAAGAATTGGACCTAGAATAAATATGAAGTCAGGGATACTAAATTGTCATCTCAACAAAATTGTTACACCAAATACTGATACTCCATATGAAATTAAAAAAAAAGAAAATTTTGCTGGACTCCAAAACCAAACTCCAAGAATGAAATGTTGCGAGTGGTGCTCACCAGAGTGAAGAAGTTGGCAAGTAATTTGTAACAGAAGATCTTGTTACAAACTGTGGTTGAACTCCACAACGAGCCGCCACACATGTATTCCCAAAATTTACAATTGCCATTGAATACACTGCAAGTAAAACCAGATAGAGATGCTGAAATATATCTTGCATTACAAGAATAATGTGCACATATGTTAGAACCTACTACCCAAGATTCATAGACAAGACAGTCCATCAGTTGTGTTCAGCCAACACATTAAAGTACAAAACATGTTAGTCATATTCTAGAATCTATTGCCATTCAATGAGAAAACTATTAACTGCATACCCACACACATTCAATGAAGGAAAATGCTAAAAATTCAAATTATCCCACTTTACTGCAGAAAAATAAAAGCTTGAAGCATCTTTATGACTCGCTTCTCCTTAAAGATAATCAAGAGTCAAATCAAATCCAGTATCGAAATGATAAAAAAACAATTTCAGGAACACTCAGAAACAATCAAGATTCAAACTTTGAGAGACAGACTACGATTCAGTTTCAGAAAATTGTTTATAACATGAAAGGAAACTATAAAAATACGATTCAGATAGAAAAAACAAAAAATCATTAAAAAATAAACACAATTGGGTTTGAGGAGAACGAAAGTGGTTGAGCGACCTGCACTGACCTAGAGAAGCCAATTGAAGGAGTCTTTCTTTATTGTTCCTCTTATTTATACTTGGTACTTGGAATAGAGTCTTCACTGCGGTGGAGCTCCGGCCGGTTGGAAATACAGGCAGGCGGCGGAGGTACTGACTACTGAACGTCGCTACAACCCCACGGCCCCACCCACGCCTTCAAAAAAAATTAACCAATTTGTGTTTTATAAAAAAAATTTATAAAGGTTATCTCCTTAATACTCTGAGTGTTTGTCCACTTTTGACTTTTGAAACTGTTCATCTAAGCACTTTGACTCATCAAATTCTCTCAATGTGTAAGCCTAAAAATAGTCATGTGTGATCTTGTTTGATTCGTCTTAACATATAGATTCTTAATATATAATTTTTATAATTTTTTAATATACAAATTACAAGATAAAATGGATTAAAGAAGTGCATTGGACGCAAATTATATCGTACATCCGGTTGTACCTATTTTTAGGTACAACCGGCTAATTGAAGAAGGGAATGAGATGGAACTGAAGCTGCCGGAATTAGTGCCGCTCCTCGGCCGGGTCGGGCCACCGGAGAAGAAAGACGGAAGGTGGCGGCGGTGATGACGAAGAGCAGCGAAGACGGAAGATGATGGAGGAGCGAAGATGAAGAAGAGCAATGGTGGCGAAAATCA